GAACAGCCCTCCCCTTTCTAGTCAAGATGGACAGTCAGAAGGGCAAGCTGAAAGTGCATCTTAAGAGTTAGCAAGTGTAGATATGGGGCATTAATTTTTGTTTGTTGTTGTTTTTGTTAAACTGTGATTTTAATTTTTATCCTGACATAATGCTGGAGTGCTTTATCTTCTGTATTCCCACTACTAGATGCTTATGAAAGTCAAAGCTGACTTTAGTGACTTTGCTTCATGTTAAGTCTGCAGCATTTTTATCTTCACTGTATTTTTCCTACTGGGAAGTAGTTTGTCTGTGTCTATTAGTCCAGTTTTGAATTTATTTTTAGTAGTGAAAAAAAGCACAGGGAACCCACTCTGTGCCCTCGAATGATACAGCTGGACATGTATGACTTGTCTGCGTGGGATTGTTTTCTGTGCTATAACTGAAGGAAGCAAAGGGTACTTTGCCTTTAAATGTTCATGTCTCTGATGTTAACATTTGTTTAAAAAAGGTTAATTGCAGACAATTATGTGCTAAAGGAGATACATCACAAGAAAAGTCAATAGTACTAGGAAACTGTAACTTTGAATTAATGATAGAACTGAAGAATTATGCCAGAGCAGTTTGTTTAAGGAGGCAGCACAGTTTTTTACTGTAAACTGCTGAATTGTGATGTGTTGGGTTTTTTTCGTTTTTCATAACTGTACAAAAAGGCATATTTACCACTCCACACTGAATTCTTAGAGTGAATAAAGAACCAAGTGTTCTGATGTTTTGAATTTAGTATGTTGTATATTAGAGTTGAATATTTAAAAATAAAACTGCTCTTTCAACTAAGCTGTGACCACTAGATGGGTTTCTTGAAGGCAAAAGGCACAGTTGTGCTTACTTAGCATGAGAACCTCAGAGTTTAAATAGCTTCTCTTTATTTTGTAATCTGTGTCTATGGTAAGAGTTGATTACTGTTTTATGGTAATCATTAGCCTGTCTTGGAACTGTGGAAAACTTGCGGGAAACTCTCTTTTTCCTGCTCTCCAGTCCAGCATCCTGAGAGTTCATAAAACTGTTCCTTCAACATTCAGCCTTTATCCAATTTGGATAAATCCCCTACTGGGCTCCATCTCAAAACTTCTGAAAAATTGTGCTGTTTTTTCTTGGTAAGCTAGCTAAACCTTTAAAGGTTTCATATTGAAACTCTGTGCTTTCTAAAAAAATTTATATACATGAAACATAAGCAGTCTGCTATGGAAGTGCCTTCAGGTCCTTATCTGAAAGCAATCCTGGCACTCCTGACTCCACACTCATTTTAGATGGATGCTGTGTGGCTCAAAAATGCCCTGATGAGAACAGAAAGGCCAAACAACCAACCAAACCCTAAACCAAACAAAAAATCAAGCCTGAAAAAAGGGAAGAGAATGAGAAGTAAAGAGAGAGAAAAACTCTGGCTGGCCCAAAGCCTCTGAGGTTTTTCTTTTGCTCAGTTCCTGGTGCTATGCTGCTTGACAGCTCTAGAAAAGTCTTGGTAGATTAGGCTGATCTCACATGAATTTTATACTTTCGGTCCCATTAGGATTATGGAGTTGACTCACTCCTGATAAATGTCAGTGTAAAGCTGCAGAGAATCAAACCAGCTGAGCTGGGCATGACCTTATATGCATAGTGATAATTAATAGCAAATGAAACTGGTAAAACATGGTTCTGAAATGCAGTAGACTGCATCATCTGGACTGTTCAGAAATTAAGATTTCAAATTCCACTTGGAAAAGGAATTAAAGACATCTTTTGCCGTCTTAGGCAAAAAGATAACCTCCTCCATTAAAGGATATGTGCCCTATATGTCACTGAAATATATGTCATGTTCGAAACAGTTATGCTACAGAATAAGAATTATTCATGAATTTGAGGTCAGAGGGTTGGGCTAGACTAATATAATGCCCGATTTTAATCCATACTTTAAATAAGGGCTGCTGTTTTAAATTTTATGGAGGGCCTTTCTTGTTACTTTTTTCTGACATAATTTCTTCCACTCACATAGTAGTAAGCTTGATATGTGATTTTCCAGAGCCTGTTATCCTGGACTGTTCTGTACTCTGGAGTAAATACAAAAGTATACCACAGGAAACAAGGGAAAATAAATTCTTATAAATTCTTATAAAATATTCTTAAGTTATTTTAGTATGGGTTTCTCTCTCTCTTTCTCTCTCTCTGTCTATTTATGTATCTATTTCAGCTGTTTCCCCTTTTTCTGTATCAGCTAGTGAGTGACCTCTGAGGTTAGTCAGTCTAGGACATCTGTGCACACAATGACTCTTCATCACTTGTGTTAATGGGAGCAGAGCTTTGACTAAATTCTGCTCACCTACATCAGGTGATCACTTTGTTCCTCAGAACTCAAAAAGACCAAGTCAAATGCAGCTTTTGAGTCGTTGAATGTTGGCTTGCTTTTGTTGGCTTGTGTACTCAGTGAGCTACAAAGAGCAGACATACTCTGAAGGTAAAGCTGAAATGTTTTATTATGGTTGTGAAGCAGACAGTGCAAGTTGAGATTTACTCATGAGGAATATTTTTTTCATTCACCAAGAGTGTCTTTATGTATTTTCCTTGTGTCTGGTGTTTGTCAAAGGGAAGGAGAAGAAGAAAGAATTGATGCTATTCTAGGGAAAGGCCATGTTCGTTAATGTAAGGCTTGCACTTTATGAAACTTTGAAGTTCCCAGCCACAATTCCTTACCCTCTGTTAGTTATTTCTGGCTTTGTGGTGGCTACAGGTGAACCATTTAGAGAGGATGTTTTGAAAATGGATGTACCGCTTCCTGGCAGAGGAGACCCATACAGGCAGCGTAGCCAGGAGCCCTGGCAGAGCATGTGGGAGGCACAGCAGAGATTCTTGTTTCCTTTGCTTGTAAAAATTCAGACAGAACTTCAGGTAGCTTTTGTCATGGAAATGGTTTTACTTTGGATGAGAGCAAAAGCTGTGCAAAAGCATTTGATTCGGAGAAGATACTTTTTTGACTAATTCTGTTCCCAGTTATGCCTCTTGAAGCACTCAGGAGAAATGGTTGATTATTTAAAAGCACTGCAGTCTGTAGTTACTGTAGAGAAAAAATGACAAAGACACTTTTGGATTTACGTGCCGCATTTCAGTAAGATAAACAACCTTAAGACATCAGCTTTTTCATCAGAGTGGATGTGTGTGTCATACCAAGTTGGCTTTCTGTCACAACGGGCTGTTGCTTTTCCTGCTCAACCTGCTGGGATGCATCCAGGGCTTGCATTCAGGGCTACCACTGTAACACCTAAAGTGAGTTCGCTTTTAATCGCTCAGTTTCAATCAGGAAGAAATTAAAGGAAAATAACTAATTGAAAGAGATTACCTGTAGTTTTTTAGGCTTATTGTAATCAGTAAATATTTCCTTATGAAATTTATAGAAAGGTAAAAAGGCAGCAATTTTAAATTTGAATTTTGAAAACAGATTTTTGTCTGTATGTTGAGGTCAGTTGCACAATGAAAGAGCAAATCTAATTTTCTGTTTAGCATTTGCTGGTTTTGAAATTGCCTTAGGCATATAAAACAACACCGAAGCATTTGCGTTTCTTCTAGTTGCTTTCTATGTCCTTGATTGCAAAAGGGACTGCCTTTCCCCCCACCCAATGTGTGGGAGCATCACTTTTGGAGAGATCATTTTTTAGAATATATCCTTTTATACTAGGAGCAGAGCAGTGAATTTGAAATGCCATAGTTGCACATGAACTAACTCACAACAATTATACTTACTAGCATCTGCTGAAGCAGCTTTCAGTTTGCAAAGGAAATGTTGGCCAGTGACCACATGCCTCCTTTGAAATCATTGAACAGAGCCAGAACACAAGATTTGTCTAAGTTATACTGATGTGGGGAGTTTGTAGACCCTGCAGCATTCTTCTAAAGTCATGTGGAAGAAACAAGTCCCCATATCCTTTGCGCAATTCCTCGTAACTCAGCTTAAGCTGTAAACTAATTTGGTTGATGAATTCTCATACCCCTCATAAAGTACAGTAACCTTGAAGAAGAGGAGCAATGTATTTAGTTTGTTACAAAACACTGATATTGTAGCTTTAACTTCAAAACTCAGTTCAGCCTTATCTGTTGAAACAGTGGCAATGTTTTTACCTGTCTACTTAGCAGCTGCTTAAAACTCCAGGAATTATGCAAGATGGAAAGCTGTATTTCTGTGGGGTTTTTATTTGTTGGGGGTTTTTTCCATTAAATATTCTTAAACTTTTCTTTCTGTAGCACAGTTGGTTTCATTGTGAGTTTGATAAGAATTTATACAGTAAATATTTTGAAGCATTCTGCAATTAAAAGACAACAAGAAGCAAGTTGCGATAAATATCACAATGTTATTTTGATGTGCTTTGCAGTAATATTACTGTACAAATGATGGTTAGGATTTGAAATCTAGTTCCTACATATTTTATACATCCAAGACACGACTTAAAAATCACTGAGCATTGCCTTCTGTATTTTTGAAGGCATATTTTTAACAATCAAGGAGAAGAGCAGAAACGAGATGCCATCAGTAACAACTAAAATACAAATCTTCCGAACATTTGTGGCATAGTAGCTGTCCAGGTGCCATCAGCAGCAGCAGCAGCATCTTCTGATAGCTTATATCCTCTGAGGCTTGATGTACAGCACTCAGATATGCTTTTTCAAATACTTTTCTGTCTGAGTGATACATTTGAAAGATAGTTGGAGTTGTCTTTCTGGAACCATGCAGATACAAGTGTTGTCTCACTGACCCAGAGTGATGTATAAGCATCTAAGCAACGTGTAGCTCCCTCAGCAAATAACAGCTTTACAATTCATCTGTTACCTTATTTTATATCACCTGATACCAGCTCTTGTTTTAACATGCTTTTAACTGACTCCTGTTCCCTTGAGAGATTAGTGCTTGTACCCCTTAGTGCACTTGAGAAAATAAATATTAAATGTAGTAAGATGGATTAATTTTTCATTTCACTGCTCATTGCTTTCCTTTCAGGTTCTTGCCTGATTACATCAGTGGTGATTTTGATTCCATTCAGCCTGAAGTCAAGGAATACTACAAGGTCAAGGTAAATGGAATCTCTATGATGAGTCCGTGGGTGTTAGAGCATTGTAGGATCCAACCCATTAGTGCCCCTGTTGGTCATTAAGTGATTCTAGCTCCATTGGTTTCTTTGAGGCTTCAGTTGTGAAGCACCTCACAAGCTCAGATGTTGTGCTCTGCCTGGCACTGTACTGATGCTAAAGTAAACACGGGAGGTGTGGTACTGCCCGAGGCCTGCGTAGGGTGCAGTTTCACACCACCAGCTCAAGAAATAGATGGTACATTGCTGGAGATTATAGCAACTAGAAACTAGGATAAAACATCCTGAAAAATCTGTGGCTTCTTTTGCTCAGTGAGGTACAGAGCAATAAAGATTAACCTCCCGTGATTCCCATGTGGCTAGCAGACTTTCTAGAGAGAGTTTCTCTGTGTTATTTTGGCATTATACGACTTTATGTTTTTATCAAGAAGCTGCAGACAGAGACAACTGTCTCTTTCATCACCCACTGAAGCACTGGATTACACCCTAACTGCTTCTGCTTCACTAGTGGAGTGCCCTCCTTAACGGGTTTTGGGACAAATTCCTCCATACTTTAATTTATTTCCAGTGTAGCCACCCCATTTCCAGTGAGCAACAGAAATGTAAACTCACATTTCTTGGGTCTTAGGACTCAAAGTTCTGCCTTTAGCTGACTGTTTGGTATTTAACTCTTTGCCTACCTGCCTGTATAGGCTTTTATGCTGAGCGCAGTGCTTTACCCTTGCTTCTTGGATGGCAGGTTTCTGCAAATTCAGTTTCCTTCAGCGCACTGGCTAGCAGCAGGTTTTTTTCCATGTTCTACCTCATGGGTTAGAAGGGAAAAGTGTGTGATGGCTGCCCATCTTGGGAGAAAAGCTCAAAAAAAATGCTAGGTTACATCTTAGGAAGTGAAAATAAAATAAAAAGCTTTGGATTAATGCTATTCATTACAGACTGAAAATTCGTGATCTGTGAGTAAAAGGGGAAGTCACAAAACGTACTGCTCTATTTGGCATGGATGTTGGTATTAATGCTTATATAAAATGCATGTTGGTAAGTAGGTAAGTCCTAGCAAAGAATGTGGGTTAAAGATGGTTCAACAGAGAGAGGGGACTTGGAAAAATTTGGAGGGGGCAGAATAGAGTAGGATATGGCAAGGGATAAGCTAAGCTAAACTGGTATTACACTTTTTCATGTGGATTACTTTTCTGGCCGTGGCACCCCGTTTGTCAGTTCCATTGTAGCTGACTGTTGACGTGCAGTTTACATCTTCTCTGTGAACGCGTAGTGAGCCATTATGCTTCATCTGGAGCTCATACACCCATGCAAGTGCAGGGCTGACAGGCTGTAAAGGAAACAATATTTCATCGGGTTTGTAAAAGTGTAATGAAGAGTGTAATCTAGCCAGCAGAATTCTAGCCTGGAGGTCATCATACATGACTAAGGAAAATGTAGTTTGGCTTTAGAATTTTAAGTTTGGGTGTACATGGTAGGAAAAATAATTTTTTGCATTTTTAAATTAAACTTCTGTAGTCAGAAAATCAGAATGGTAGATATGGGTGGGTGTCTAAGGAGATCTTGAGCAAAAAGCATAAAACACAGAATTTGGAGAAAGGTGTATGTTTCTTTTCTTGTAAACTATCTTGCCCAGTAAAGCACCTTCTATAGTCTGGGAAATTTCAGAAGTCACTGTCATTTAAAAATGTTGTATGTGTTGATGACACAAGAGAGGTTAGGGCTGCTTAAAACAGGCTGTGAGAGAACCTCAGGTGAGTAGATCAGTGTAGCACCGTTGACTTCAGGGAAGTATAGAATCACATTGTGAGTTAGGGTTGCTTCCCATGCTGTCCTCCCGCACGGAAGCAGTCCTTTACCCTCATGCAGGTTACACCCAGAGACGAGGTAAGACATTATCATGAGATAATATTCCTGTATTGTTTCAAGCACTCTCCTGTATCAATTGTTGATGATTTTGAATGGGAAAATGGAAGAACTGTTGTAGCAAAGCTTAGACTGATGTGATGATGTCGTTTTCAGTGAGCAAGTGGATGAGAATCTACAAAAATCCCATCTGCTAGCTTTTGATATTCATCGTCAATTACTTTGACATGCTCCTACAGCCTTCCCCTTCTCAAGTCTTGCTTCCAAATAGTCACCCTTGCTTGAATGGAAAGCCCAAACCATTCTTATAAGATAGAATTACATGAAAGCACGTGCATTCATCATGTGATATTGCTCCAGTTTCATTTGCCCAGGTTAGTACCAAGGATGCCTTTAGTTAGCTGGGTGCCTCTGATGTTGAGCATGTTACCTTCAGACAACAAAATATTTATTTTTCCTTTGAAATGTATGTCCAGGAAAACATTAGGTCTTCAGCACCAAATGACAAGAATATTCTGTTGACATTCCTAATGTTTCTCCTCTCATTTACTGCCAAGCCACCTTTCCCGTTCTACCAGGTAGCAGACTGTCCTGCCTGAATTTTCCCCATCACAGATAGCTGTCTTGAGTTGCTGACAGGCCAGGGTTAGTAATTACTTACACTGTAGCTATAGCTTTACCTTCTTCCAAATTCAGACTTCCTATGTAGAGCATTTTATACTGTAGTGCAGATTTTCATCTATTGGTGTCCCTTGCTTTTTTCCATATGTACCTAATGGAACTTATTCCCTAATGTTACATAACGGAAAAGTGACCCTTTTTGAAGGCACTGACTTAGGGTAAGTCAAATGTTCTGCTGTCTGGCTGCAACATTACTGTGACCTACAAGTAAATTGGGGTGTGTGGGAGTGTGTATTCCTTTGTACATGTGTAACCAAGTAATTCATTATGGTCAGCAGAAAGGAAGCGCTATCACATGCATGGAGTAGAATATGAGGGAGTATGAAGGAAAGTGAAGCAAGCAGCAAGAGCTGAGAGGTATTCACCCTCTGCACTCCTGTCTGCCTTTATGTACGATGTACAGGGAAAAGTCATACCAACTTTTCTATCCCTTCAGTTTGACTTGATTGCTGTAGATTCCTGTGCCAGGTGAAGGGCAAGTGACGCTGAAGGAGCTGGAGGTTCCTTCAGTATTTCGTTGCAATGATTTAATTTATACAAGAAATTAAAGTGATTTTTTTTTCTTTGTTTTTGTGAAGCTGAAGCAAAGTTTCTTAGGTTTTTTTATGAACGTGTGTCCTGGTTTGGCTGGGACAGAATCACAACCCAGCCATGCTCGGCAGGCCGTTAGCAGTTCCAAGTCAGACCTGAGTTAGCTACAGGTACAGTCTGTACCGTAATGTCACGGTCATTATAAAGGGGGAAGGTTTGCTTAGGAGAGAGAGCTCCTGTGGGGTTCCTG